TTTGCTATTTTTACTTTTTGTTGTTGTTGTTCATGTCTTAGTTTTGGAAAGGGAGACCTTGGGGACCCTCCAGTTTTGCCGCCATCTTTTCCAAAGTGTCTTGATCTGTTTTTTTTACCCGCAATAAATGTGTATTTATTTATAAATTTCAAACATGTGCTACACTGCAAAATTATGTGTTATAAAATGTACGCTTGGAACAACAGAAATTTTAAAAGATGAGATAAAGAGAAATACATAAAAAGGTTTTAATACTTTTCTCTCTAATGGATCATCTTGATCCCTTCCCCAGGCACATACAGCCCACTTTCAAGACACTACCCTAGAGATAAAGGCTGTCAAATGTGATGTCTATTTCCCCAGCCTTTCCTCAGTGCATGTACTAATGTATATATCTTATTTGTTAAAAACGATGAGGGCATACCAGTTCTTCGATTGGCTTTCTCCATATAACACCACATGTTGGACAGCCTTCCTCTCATTACATAAATCAAGCTCATGATTACAGCTCCACAGTAACCCATAATCAGAAACAGTTATTTCTTTAATCAGACACTTATTAGACATTTAGAATCTCCTGATAGACATTTAGAATGCTCCTAATTGTTCATAAAGACAAAGAACACAACAAGGACCACCACTGTATGTTCACAGATTATTCATTTTTTTTAACCAAACATGTGACTAGAGTTGCATGGTTAATAGTCTGCTCACACCTAATAAGTTACTCGATTTGCCCAAGTGCCCTATGGAATAGGCAATATAGAGAATCCTTCTCATTCTGTGGATGGGGAAATGGAGGTTCCAAGAGACTACCTGATCTAACACAAAATAATAAGAGCCACTACGTTCTCTGTGTATCGTGCTAAGAACTTGACATAGATTATCTGATTTAATCTTCACAAAAGTCCTAGAGGATAGGTATTACTACTATCCCCATTTTAGAGATCAGGGAACTGAGGCTCTGAGAAGTCAGCAACTTACTAAAGGGCACACAGAGTAGTGGGTAGTGGAGTGAGGTCAGACTCTGAAGCCTGGGCATTTTGCCTGCCACTCACTCATTAGGGCTAGGGTGGGGTGGGATTGGAGGCCAGCACACCTACAGCCCTCTTCGAAATAAAGTACCAGCTACAGCTGCAGTCTGGGATGGCCTTGACACTCTGCCCTAGACCCTCCCTTGGTCACATCCTCATGAGCGGGGAGAACATTATACACAGGATTAGTAAAAAATATTTCAGGCAATGAATTCAAAACAACTGTATATCACAGGGAGCTCTGCTCAATATTATATAACAACCTAAATGGGAAAAGAATTTGAAAAGAATAGATACATGTATATGTATAACTGAATCACTTTGCTGTACACCTGAAACTAACACAACATTGTTAATCAACTACACCCCAGTATAAAAACAAAAACCAGAAAACCTGAAACGAAGTTAACAGAAAAATCCCCTAGTTCTTGAAACTTGTTCTCTCTCTGTTGAGTTAATCTCTTTCGCACCACCAATGTCAAAGGTTTCTGGCTTCTTCCTCCTGGTTGGGGCCAGCTTCCTCCCATAAGGGGCACCTGTCAGTGTCAGCCACGTGCCTCTCACGCATTACTCACATGTTACATAGACGTGGGCGGCCCAGTTGCCCCGCTCGTGGGGAAAGGTGAGCACCCGGCCCCCGTGTTTTGCGCTACCATCCTCAGACCACTCCTCGGTGCCCGGGAACCTGTCCAGTACACTGTCGGGTACTGGCAACTTCTGGCTGGGAAAGGGGCTCTGGCCCCGACTGCGGCCTCCAGTCCCCGGCCGGCCCCGGGCCCCAGCCTCAGCCTCATCCTCGGAGCCACTGCTGCTGTACCCCACCTGGAGTGCCGCACTCATGGGGGACCCTCTCCACTACAGCACAGCCTGCCTGCCAGCGGTTGAACCACACCAGGAATTCCTCTGTGCAGGAAGTTGGATCTGTTATTGAAAGAATCATTTTGTAGATGCTTTCCTCCAACTCTGTAAAATTATTCCAAGAAGACATTTTGAGACTCCCCCATGGTTAAAATAGACTATTCAGTTTTTAACAGCTCTCTGTCCCATTACTTAAAATTGGATTTATTTTTGTGTTAAAATGGTATATATTTGTAACAAGGAATTGGGGAACAGCATCTTCCTGATTGATGGATGAAATACATAATCATTCAGGTATGGTGAATTGAGGAGACTGTGGGAAGACTCCCTATCTCCAAGTATCTCCCCAACCACTAACCAGTACTTCGTATTCCACTAAAAATACTTCACTGTTGTTCCATTAGCATGAAGTCCGTTGATCAGATTTAGTTATCTGGAAAGGTCCTTCATACTCCTGCGATGGGTGTACTTCTATAGAAGGGAGTGGAAAGTAGCATGAGTCCTGTTTTTTCCTCCCACCAGGGAGAGGGAAGTAGAACAAAAGAATCCAGTTTAAAAGATGACTATTTTTCCTAGGAAATTATTTCTGGCATATTAGAAATTTGGGGATACTTAAGTGTAATTTTGAGTGATATGAATTCTTAGGATAATGTGCTCATTAGTTTGTTACCCTTCCTTTACTCTTCAAAACCTGTTCAACAAGAAGAGTTTTGTGAGGGAGTGTCTCAGTTAGCAGAGTATCCCAGCTCACGAGGGAAGGAGTGCTGCTAATTGAACCTTTCAGGGGACTCGCATTTTCATGAGAGGAAAGAAATTCAGTACCTTCTCTGATTGTGGATTTGCTCGTGTTGACTTTTGATCTTGATGTTATTAAATACATTGCTGACCTCCTCACTAGACGAAAGTAGAAAGGTAGAGAAACTTGTCCTAGACGAGGAAAATTCCTGTTTCCAAAACCTGTAAAGATAAACTAATTATGAAGAAGCAGAAACTTGATCATGGTAGTTCAAAATGGGATTCAGATAAAGTTTCACATAGCAAAAATCTTACTGAATAATTTTTTGTGGTTTTTCAATGTTTTTAAAAGCCTCTCTTTTGAAAATGAATATTTGGGTATTTGTTGGCACTGTGGAGCAGAGATACTAAGTCTAGAAATAGTCTAATGTTTACATATTTGTTTACATATGGGTTTATCTGCATTGATCATAATTCCTTGACTCTAAGATGTCTTTAAGTATATCACACGTCATTATTTCATATACCACTAAGAAAGAAAAAATGTTCCCTATGGAATTCTGACACGCTTACAGTGCTTTAGGGTGCATCCTGATTTCAAAGATGTTAATATGTGAAAAAATATGCATCATAGAATTGATGAGATATGGTATTTTTCTTAAACTGACAAAAACAGGGAAAATTGATATCCTTAATCACTTGTCCATCTATCTGAAATATTTAACAATACAGTCAATAGGTAAATTTATGCTTTAAAATTCTATTTACTAGGTATGATATTTCTAAGAAAAATCAAGACATTGATAGAATACCATTAATATTCAGAGAATTAACAAAGTGACCTTACATCTATAGATGATACACCCCAGATTTCCCCTGTCATGTTTTTTTAATATTTATTTTATTTTTAATATTTATTTATTTATTTTTATTTTTGGCTGTGTCGGGTCTTAGTTGTGGCATGCAGATCTTTCGTTGCAGCGCATGAAGACTTCTCTCTAGTTGTGGCGTGCAGGCTCAGTAGTTGCGGTGCCCGGGCTTAGTTGCCCCGAGGCATGTGGGATCTTAGTTCCCCGACCAGGGATCAAACCAGTGTCCCCTGCATTGGAAGGCAGATTCTTAACCACTGGGCCACGAGGGGAGTCTCTTCCTTGTCATGTTTTTAAGAATTCCCACTATTTGATATTTTCATTCCTGAGTAAAGCAATCTGGTCCCTGCAGTGCTGCCCAGACCAGGGTGTAGGGATTGCTTCTATTGTCTTTTCCAATTCTTTCAGCAGCCTTTTGAGAAAGAGCCTCTCATTTCCACTATTAGGTATCACAAATGCTCAGAAATGAATTTTATCACCTAAAATCACCCCTGAATTAAAGTCTAAAGCTCTGTCCCACTTGTCACTTTCCTGAACATTCCAGGAAATGTGATCCTTGAGCTCATGATTCAGCTGAGTTCTCTAGGTTGAGGTTGATCAACTACCTCTTGCTGCAAGATTTAGCCAACTTTTCTTGAGAAGCTTATTATAAGTATTTTTAATGCTGAGCATATTATAGTACGAGGGGGAAAGGATTTGTATGTGGTGAACAATTACCCATAGTCCCACTATCTTTACCATTGGCAGCATTTTCGCACGTTTCCTTCTAGTTTTTCACCACATAAATTTTTGCAGAGTTGAAATAACTTTTATGTGCAATTTGTGTGATGCTTTTTCACTCAACCTCATGTTATTAAAAAGAGTATTGTTAAAGGCTTGTAACTAGTTGACTGTTTTATTCTGTAGATATATTAACCATTCCCCTATTGCTTGTTATCGGGCTCTATCCATTTTATTTTTGCAGTTCTGAATCATGTCAAAATGAACATCTCTGTATGCAAATCTCTGTCCACATTTTGATAGGAGACATAATCAACATTAATCCAATTGATTTGTACTGTTAAATTTCTTTCATGGGAAAAAAAGGGTCATAACAATCTGTCACCCAACCAAAGGGTAGGAGTGAATGTGAGAAAATGGTTGTGTTTATTCAATACTGTTATTATTTCAGCTCAGAGTTGAACTGAGACACGTAGGTAAAGTTGTCTCCTTGCTGATGACACCATCAGTTGTGCTTGTTGCTGGGAAGCTGTTGTCCTCTTCACCTAGCCAGTATCTTCCCTACTTCACTATAGTCCCATGGAAATTCACCATCCTTGAAATTATACCAGGAGCCCAACAGCACTTTAAAAGCTCCTACTGGTGCCTGGCTCTCTCATATTTGGTTTTCCCCTCCCTTAAGGGGTAGGTATGGCCAAAATCACCAAACCGGATCCATGTTTGCCTTGCAAACCAAACAAACTCTTCTGTTTTTGTTTTGCTTTGTGTCTGGACTAATTCTTAGCACCTCTTCTGCCTGTGAGCGATTTGTCACTTCCTTCTGTAAGACTGGCACCAGCAGAAATGCAGTCTCAGAGGATCCCGGGGAGAAAGCGAGGCCGACCCCCACTTCACTCAACACCTATGAAGATGGCAGTTCATAACCTTTATTCTGCTTCAGCTGGTTCTTTACCAGCAGTGAAGATCCCAAAGAAAAGAGGGCGGAAACCCGGGTACAAGGTATGGCTCCATCGTCTCCTTTCTCCAAAGTGCAACTGGGCTGGGCCATGGCGCTTGGGCAGAACTCCAGTGCAAAATGTGATGAGAGGTTGGAAACTGGGTAAAGACAGGGTGAGAAATAAGTTTCTCTCAATGAAGCATGTGACAGACGAGGCTTCATTGTTGCAACATGGCACACAATACATGCTGTCGCTGTCATGTGCATTTTTACAAGTGGAGAAAGCAAATTACACCAGATGGGGAAAGTTGTAAGGCGAGCAGATTTTAGGGTCATAGCTAAACACACATTATTAAGCCTTGCATCTCAATGAACATTTCAGACACTGAACTTTCCCCTGACTGTTCTTACGAGGGCGGCTCTGGAAGCCACTTTCCAGAACTCATTTGTCATGAATTTCAGTAGAAGCAGATGATGTCCCTGAGACATTTAAATTAATAATGCGAGCAACCTAGTGTCAAAGGTCGTGAAGAGTTTTCCCTAATAGAGCCTCAATAAGGGGACTCATCATGAAAATTCAGGGTGTTAATTCATAGTTTCCTGCTTACAAAAGGCACTGACATCAAGATTGGCTACAAGGAGACATATCAGGCAAAATGAAAATCCTGTTACTCTTTCAAGAATTAATGATTTGGCGAGGCTGTGGGGTGGAGAATAAATTCTCTGATGTAACTGAAATCACATAAAACAACCCAAACCCGAGGGAGAGCTTCTCCTCTAAGATGTTTTTGAAGAGTCTGCTAGAGAAGAAAGATCATTGAGTTGTTTTCCATGAGCCTTTCGGGCATTAGAAAATGAGCTTCAGAAGTTTTCCTTCGTCTATTTTTCTAGAAGTAAAGAGCTTATGTTTCCATCTTGAGATCTGAATACGCAAACCAAAATGCAAATTGGCAATTAACTCCCATATATTTAGGAAAATGTATGGAAATTATTTCATGTCAGCAGAAAGACAAAGCTTCCGGAAGAATTGGTAATGAATTCAGCCTCTATCCCTTTGGTTCTCCACAGTTCTTCCAACTGCTGGAAAATAGACACAATAGGTAGGGGGAAGGTGACTTAAAGTTATTTGGGGGTCACTGGTTTTAGTAAAAGAAGCTTTTACTCAGCCAGCTCTTGAAGCAAAGGCTTCTGTCACTGGTTATTTTTTTAACAAAGAGAGCTTCCTTTTTCTCATGGGTGCACCGGTTTCAGAATTGTGTCTCTGAAGCTGGCCCAGGGCAGGTCTCTCTGCTCAGCTACCTGTGCAGTTGCTGGGGTCTGGGAATTGCATCTGGAAGGCTGGAGCAGGGCAGCCCTTCTGTTTATAGAGCCAGGGAGTGAATCCAGGATCTAAAGAAACACACTGAAAAATTTTCTCTCCTATTTGGCCTTTCTCCTGCTCCCCTGGGAGCTGTGACCCAAGAAAGAAAATTACCGACAGACACAGCATTTCTGGGGCCAGGAAAAATGGAAATTCACTCTGTGGAATGAACCCAACTTTGCAATTTTCCTGTCTCCTGAAAAAGGCAGTTTTCAGTTCTCCTAACACTCAGAGACAGCTCAAGGCAGGAAGAAAGCTTTGGAGACGGTTAGCTGACATACGGGCCCTGCACATGGCAGGTGGATCGTATTCCCATGCCTCACAGGGTGTCTTTTCTGGGGACAACAGGCCACAGCTCTTCTTTCAGTCCACCTCCCATATATTTGAGGAAATTGTGGGAATTATTTCATGCCAGCAGCTCCCCAAGCCATGGGCTTTGTGTTCGAGAAAAACGGCTCCAAACTGGGTGCCAGCCTGTATGCAGTCCCAACGCGCTCGTGGTGACAGGAGCAAACGGTCTAAAGTCTTCAGAAAGCTAAAATGATTCCACCTAAAGGATCAAACTTTATTCTTTTTTTTTTTTTTTTTTGGCTGTATTGGGTCTTCGTTGCTGAGCATAGGCTTTCTGTAGTTGCAGCGAGCAGGGGCTACTCTTAGTTGCGGTGCATAGGCTTCTCATTGTGGTGGCTTCTCTTGTTGTGGAGCACAGGCTTTAGGCACGCGGGCTTCAGTCGTTGTGGCACGCAGGCTCAGTAGTTGTGGCGCACAGGCTTAGTTGCTCCGTGGCATGTGGGATCTTCCCGGACCAGGGCTCGAACCCGTGTCCCCTGCATTGGAAGGCGGATTCTTAACCACTGCGCCACCAGTAAAGCCCCAGGATTGTCCTTTATTCTGAAATATCTGCTTCCTGCTATTTTTGTGTTAAAGTTTATTAAGTGTCGTATATTGTGAGGGTTTGGTAATCTTAAAAAAATGTCCTTACTTGGCAAAGTAAAGTTAACAATGTATTAAGTCTCTCCAGCTTTAGTTTTACAATTTCTTAGACCCCGAAGCCCCATTTTACCAGTAATGAAATGGTTTTAATTGTGGAGATGCCAGCAAGGAAAGTGTACAGTTTGATTCCATTTACCAAATGGCCACTCATTTGGCAATTTTAACTACCTGGGACACAGCTGGGGAGCCAGAGTTGTTAACAAAAAATCCTGAGCAAGTGAAATAAGATATTACTTGGTCTACCCTTAAAGATCTTGTATTTTATTACTAAGAAAATGCTTCCAAACCCTTCCTCAGTGTCTGTTTACCTTTATTGTAGATGCATTTCTTACAAGCTTGATTATTGCAGTTTAATAGCCTTTGATTTGAAGGGGAAGATATTTTGGGGAGAAGATTGCACACACAGCTGGATACTGAAAGTATAATTATATGATATCATGTTAATAATTTAGAACAATAAAATATACAATAATATTATCAGTTATAAAATTATAACACTATAACTTTATGTCAGCACATTATTATATTTATATTAACAATATTATCTTAATAAAATGATAAGTATTGAGCCAGGAGATTCTGAGGATGCCTCGTTGTACCAACTGTATCATAGGTTTGTGTTGGTTGACATTTGTCTCTTCTTACCTGGTGCTGTCCCAAGCTGCTCTGTCAATCACCTCTGTGTCCCTGCACGTGTGGAAACTCTCTCTGGTCCAAGTATGGGTATAAGCCTCTCCCTTTAAGACCCAAGCACAGCTAACACAGGCTGTGATATTTAACCTCTTCTCTGAGTCTTGAGAGTAACATGAGCAAATTATAGACAGAAAAGGAAGGGTTTAACTGGCATTCAGATGTGAGTGCTCCAGAGTTCATGGGTCATTCCTCCTCCCAGGGCCCATCTGACCATGTCTCTTGGCCCCGGCCTGCAGCCACTTTGCTGGGGCATGCTTGCTGCTGTGAGTATCATTTTATGGCCTTGCTGCCCCCTTCTCACCCCAGTCAAAAGAAGGAAAAACCCCTTAACGTCATATTTTCTCCAAAGAGCCATACTCTGTCATGAAAACAGCTTTCTTCATTATAAAACAGAACATTTACATCTCAGTTTGAAGAATTTGCTGTTGATTTAGGTCCTCAGTTCAGAGACTCTCCAAGGTCAACAGGTGGGTTTTCCTTACATTTCATGATGAAGGAGACCATGGAAGTCTTTTTAAAAAGATAAAGAGAGAGGGTCTGCACCAGGGATAAACCCTAACTTGCATTCAGTAGACATAGCTGATTATAATGGCTCCAAATAGCGGGATTTTCAGCTTCTGTGTCTTTATGATTTAAGCAGGAAGAAAAAAGTGCCGGTTTTTTAAGATAGCCATTTGTCCCCAGTACACAATAATAATAAATAATACTAATAGCAATAATAGTCATAAGTAACACTTACTGAGCACTTCTACATTTGAGTCTCTGGGCCTAAGCACTTTATATATATATTTCTTATAGATCCTTGATAATTTCATAGTGAGAGAAGTCAGAAAAACTGCAGGAATTAGGCATGAATTAACCATGCCCCGCAGCCTGAGGCCACATACTGTCCGGCCAGCAGCCCTCTCCACCTCAGCAATCTCTTTGCATTACTGTTCAGAATAGTATTTGTGTTTCCTGATTCAAAAAAGAGTAGATTACTTTCTGTCTGCTCTGTTTAACTAGCTAAGAAAAGTGTAACATGCTCTAGAAAGAATATCATCCCTGAAATATTAAAAACAAATAGTTTATATGTTCTAAAATGTTAATAATTGTATCATTCAGCATACAAATTCAGCTGCTGTAACAAAGGCCAAAGAACAGTGGCTTAAAGAAGATAGAAACTAATTTCTCTCTCATGTTACTGTCTGGGAAGGCCATGTGGCGCTGATTCGATGACTCCACCGTGTGGAGGACCCAGGCTCCTTTTATATTGTTGCTCTGCTATCTTAAGACACAGTCTCTACCTCATGCTCTGAGGTGGCTCCTCCAGGTCCCACCATCCCACTACTTTGGCCAGCAGAATGGGGACAGAGGTGGTGGAGGGCACGTTGTTCCCCTTTAAGGGTGAAACCTTCAGAGTTGTACACACCCTCACACTTGCAACTCACTGGCCAGGAAGTGAGTCACTTGGCCACACTTAGCTCCACAGGAGGCGGGAAAATGTAGTGCTGAGCGACCACGTGATAAGCTGAAATCCAGGGATTCCATTAGTACATGAAGAAAGGAGCATGGATATTTGGGAAGAGCCAGCAATTTCTGCTAACTATTGAAAGGACGGTCTTCCGTTAACTGGTAAATTCACTTTATAAAGAAAGTAATTTTCTAAAGAGCAAGAGTAAATGCAGCATTTTGTTTTGTTCCTCCTTTCTTATTGTCATCCTTTTCCCCCCCGAAAAAGTATGTGTTCTTGGCACTGTGTAACAAGGACGTCAAGTTAACAAAAATCTCAATTAAGAGAATGTTCAAACTTGAGTAGAAAGGGTTTGTTTGTTTGTTCCAACATTTGTTTAAAGCCTCTTTCTAAAGTGTGTTTTCATTATAACTGTTGAATTGGCTTCAGTGCGTCTTTGATTATCCAGATCTTGTATAGCCTTAAGAGTCATAGTTAGGAACACTAACGGCAGCCTAATAGTGTGGAAGGGAAGAATCGACATCTAACCTTTCCTGTGCCTATTTTCAAGGTCCCCCTCTTGC